CACTTCCTGTCTCTTTATCAGGTTTGTGAAAGAGCGCCAGCCCTCCATTTCCCCCAACTTCAACTTCCTGGGTCAGCTGTAGCACTTCCAGCGCACTCTGAGCCAGCAGCAGCCGGACCCTCATCACCCTCATCACCCTCATCTGCCCTCAGCAGAGGAGCAGGGGCCACACAGAGACTCAGCAGAGGAGCAGGGGCCACACAGAGACAGACCCCCGCAGAGGCCCTCTCACTCACAGCTGTCAGGGACACTTGACACTTTTCATTTGACTCTTAATCAAACTCAGCAGCAAGTCCACAGGCCAGGTGAGGGTCCATCTGTAAGCCCCTGTGAGCCTGCACCTGCAGTAAAGCCCACAACACTACAACTCCCAGCAGCCTCTGCTTCTCTATTAAAGAAACGCAAAAGCCTCACCCTCCGTCTCACCCCTTTGGGCTCCCCAGCAAGTTGCAGCCAGCAAGCAAAGTGCAGCTCCACACCTCAAACTTTCCACAGCAGTGAGCTGGGTACCACACGGCCCCCCAGGCACAGGGAGCAGCCTCCCCTCAAAGTGCAGCACATCAGAGATGAAGGAGCAGGGGCTGCTGACCCCCTTCAGCCTCACCCTCAACAAGCTGCTGGGCTGTTTGTCCCCCCTGTTAAGATGGGACAGCCTGCACTGCCGTACAGGTGCTGAGGGTGTTGTTTCTGTTTGTGTCAGCATGTTAGTCAGATGAAAGCAAACCACCTGCAGGAGATCTGAGAGAACTCATGTCTCCTATTTATTTATTGCAGAACTGAAAATAAGGATTATACTATACTAATAATAAACACCTTCACAATTGCATCGTGTTGGCAAAATGTGACTTTTATAAGATTCATTTATTTAAAAAGACTTGTTGCCCACAATTATACTAATAATAAACACCTACACAATGGCATCGTGTTGGCAAAATGTGACTTTTATAAGATTCATTTATTTAAAAAGACTTGTTGCCCACTTGCGTGAGATGTGTTTACTGATGATGAGTAAACATGATATGTCCAACGTGTCTCATCTCCTTCTTATCAGTGCGGTTTAGAGCGGCACTTCCCAAGATAGATACCTAGTTTGTAGGTCTCTAATGACTCATCACTATCATGACACCAGAAATACAAAAGTAATGACAACTTAAAACAAGTATAAGCAATAAAATACTACCTCTGTTCTAAACCTTTACTTGCCTAAGAAGCCATATCTGGGCAGTGTTCTCTCTGAAGATCTCCCCTTTTTCCTCATATTCCACAGAACACCTGCGGGATGTGAGGAAAGGCAAATGTATTGTGCAGGCAGGAGTGCAAAAGTAATGATGTGGTGGTATAGTCATGCAGACTTGTGTGCTGGTAAAATGGCCGGCAGGATTTTTATATGGTGCAATCTATTGGCCTGCAAAAAGCTCTACAGTGGGACTAATGCCCGCTGAAAGAAAGATCCAGATATCAAGCAGGTAAAAGGCAGAACACCAGGGGCTGGCTGTGATGGGTCAGTTTGATTGAGAATATAGTAGTGTAATCACTAATTAATGATTTCAACTAACACTACAAAGGTTTTGGATGTGGAAACCCCTTCATTGTTTTCGCTGATATTGTGCATACACTACATGTTCATGGACTGTACACAGAGATTACAGAAAACATTTAGTGTTTACTGTAATCTGAAGCATAGCAGACCGGAGGGAAAATGTATGGCAAGCAGTGAGGTTTTATTGTTCTATGGGGGATAAAGTTTAACAGTGCAGTGGAGATGTAAGTCTGTTTGTTTTTGACTTTCATTCTTGAGTATTATATTTTCTTTACGAATGAAAGTGATTTACCAAACCGGTTGTTCAAGGGTTGTATTCCATCAGCTTAATGTGGCCATATCATTAATCAACTCATGCTATTATTTTATTAGCAGTCGTAACAAAAGTTACATTTCATCACATTATTGTCATTATAATTGCAGCATTCATTCTGTTTTAACTAGTTAACACGTTAATAACGCATTAAGGCAAAACAAAATGAACGCCACTAATTATTTTGACGCGATTAACGCATGTGCAGTGGCGTTTTTATATGTACAAAAGTGGTGGGGCGCAAAAAACGTAGATGTCTATATATAAGCTTCTGCAGTGGCGTGCAGTGAGGTTCATGGTTTGCACTGGAACTGACTCTTCAGGTTTACAAATATTATATTTTGACCAAAATCAAAATATGATATTATATTCAAAAGCTTTTTTTGTCTGATACTTCGATTAATTTTAAACAGACAGTTCAACTGAAGGATACCCAAAAAATGTAATATTATCATTTAAATATTGAATTGTTCTCTCTTAGTAAGATCCCATTTTCAATAAAATTGCTCCCTAACCTTGACTTGAAGATGAAGTCCATTTACCTATCCTTCTGGACACAAATCTCTATTACTTTTTTGTAAAAGTCCTCCAGTTTCAAAAGTCTATCATAAATCTAATCGAGAGATTTATGATTAGAAAATTATAAAAGCAGGGTAGACATGTGGATATTACTGAACAAAACGTGCATTTATCTAACAGGTACGTTTCCCACAGATCTTATTTTGAGCTATTTTCTAAAATCAAGCAATGATAAACCTGTGAGTTGGATGGAGAAAAGTCAGAATCAATATAGATTTTTTTTATTTTAAAGTAAATTCAGATTGAACATAGTAAAACAAATTCGATTATAGTGTCTGTACCAAAATAAACCATTACTTATAGTGAAAACTACCATTGAATGATGGGATAGTAGACTAAAAGCTTGAGGAATCCAAACTATAACTATAATAAGTACCCTGTATCAAGATTGATGCAAAACAAGTGACATTTGACCTTTTTAGAGAGGTTTAGCAAAATAAAAACCACCTCTGGGGTCATTTGGGAGGAAATGGGTGTATTTGCGGTTTCTCTGGAACCCATTGGTCGATTTTGATGATTAACATCTATTTTGAACCGTTAGAGCCAGTAGAATCGAAGGGAAATTTCCACAGAGTGGCGAAGTCCCTCCCCTTCCGGGGGACCTCCATGGGACCTTATTTCGGAAAAAACATGTATTGAAGTCAATGGAGAGAGAAAGATTATCTTTTGATCCAGTTTGAATTGTGCAACGAATTACTTGATGTTGATGTTTGTCCATTTAAAAGATAATTTTGCAAGTAAAAAAAATAAAAATGTGTCGTAAAACTGTGAGGTAACACATTTGTTTGTGTGAAGCGCTCAATGAACTTCAACTCTGGTCTTGCATACGTCACCAACACCAAGATGGCCGTCACGTTAGCACATTTCACCTCTTTCTTTCAGAATGAAGTGAAACGTATTAAAAGAGGTGAAAATCACTACAAGTCTGGCCATGTTGAGAACTGTACATACACAAAAGGGGAGTTACTCGGTTCCGTAAGAGCCAGCATGCGGGACCGGCTTTACAAGGTTTCGGTGAGATGTGTAACGGTAATGTACGCGACTCTGGGATTTGTAGTCTTTCTAGTTGCGTATTTTTCATAGTCTTATATTTCAACAGTTTTAAGACAAACTGTGACTTTTTTGACATGGAAATGATTTTTTAAGATTGACAAACATCATATGTGTAATTCATGGCACAATTCAAACGGGATCGAAAGATAAGTTTTCTCTCTCCATTGACTTCAATACATACGTTTTCAGAAATAACTTCGCCACTCTATACACACACACGTTACCATTGAGAAGTCAGCACGCAGTTTGCCCAAAGCAAAATCTTACGCTCTGACATCTGAAAACTGAAAACTAGGTTTATTGCTGATGGATTATCAGAAGTCATTAAAGTGACACAGACACATTGGACTAGCCTGTGGATTAACCTTCAGCAGCATTTTTATCGTTTTAATGCCATTGAAGACAACTTTTGATCAGAAAACAACAAAGGTACAGTAAGACATTGCCGTGTTGGCTATACCTAATGCTAGGTGGTGTGATGTCTGTGTTAGCTTCTCATGTCGCAAGTTCGGATCAGTCAGTAAGGATACTAATACCTTTATAATCTGTGGAATCTCAGTTTGCTAATCAATATCTTGTTTGTGCAGATACGATAAGTAATAAGGGTATTTTAACGTGAGTTCTGTGCTAAGTCTGTTAGCATTTTTTCACTCGGGGCTAATTCTGAGCCTTTGTTATCACCCTTATGTTTCGTTTTGCTAAAAAGTGTTAATAGTGTCTGATAGCTGAGTTTCTTCCCATTAAGTGGGTATGACACATTAATAGGTTTTGAAATGTTAAGAAGCCCTCAGACGCTGTTTCTTGCAGATGTTGCGCCCGCGGGGGGAATGGGGTTTAACAGGTTAACAGCTTTAACCAAATAGTTGAAATGCAGTGCTGCAGTGTTATGGAGGAATTCAAGTTTAAGTTTAGAAACAACCTTACCCACAGGAATTCTCACATAGTCTCTTTACCAGAAGTGAATGTAAAGAGAGACAAAGTCATGCCCCTCCTCGAGATAGACTCGATCTTTAAAACTGTGTCATTGTTTTTATGGATATTGTGCTGCAGTCAGACATGTAGCTTCATGCCAGCGGCTGCATGACTGCAGCCTGTTGGCGGGGGGCCAGAGGGAGGTATGTGCTGCCTCAGGGCAGCTTTCTCCAGCATAGATGGCTGTACACGGTTTACAGATAACATGTAATAGTCAATATAATCTTTCAAAGTTTACCATGAAAAAGTGGTTTCTCATTCTCAACTTACATGTGTTGTTCCAGCTCAAACATTACTGAAAAGTTTGATGGTAAACTAAGGAGACAACATCTGTTTATTTAAATAATGTCATATTATTATGGATAAATATAATGACAGTAAATATTTCGGGCCTCGTGCTGCTTTTCAAATACGCGGGTCATTCGGTTAAAAATGATGTCACGGACACTCCACATGACCAAATAAGGAAACTGACACATGATGGTGGAATTCGTACCGATCAGATTTCACTTCTAATGAGAAGAAAGCTAAAGTGTGTGAAGTACCGACTAGTGTTTGTGTGTGAGTGTGTGTGTGTGTGTGCACGCGCGTGCGCGTGTGCGCACATAAGTTTCTCGAGGAAAAAGAAAAGAGGAAGCAGTACCGCCCCCAGAAGAAGCTGGAGGTCGAGCAGAGAAGTAAAAGCAGCTCCACGGATCTGTTCAGCCCAAAACCTGAAGCTAAAGCTCGGTTATTTTAGTCTTTACTTCGGCGGAGAGGCGGTGGACTCAGGGACTTGTGTGGCCAGGACTGTTAGGACATGAGCTTCAGGTAGAGGAGTTCCATTTTGTCGCTAAAGTCGTCCATGCCGCGCTCCTCTGCTCACATTCCGTGAAGAGGCGGATCTACTTTACTTTGGATTGTTGTGTTGCTGGGCGGTTGATCGGAACAGGGCCGGACCAGAGGCAGGATGAGTGCAGAAGAAGAACGATTCAAACTGGTTGTGGTGGGTGGGGGCGGGGTGGGGAAGAGCGCCCTCACCATCCAGTTCATCCAGGTATGAAACATCTGTAACATCTGTCCTCTACTGTTTGTGTGTGCCATGTTTAAGTCTTTGTTGAGTCTGCTCTGCATCAGTGGTGAAAGTAACAAACCGCACTCAAGCACTAGTTACATATTCTTTAAATTAGACATCAACTTTATCTGCTGCAAAATGTAAAAGACTGAACATCCATTTTTTAAATCAAATGACATTTTGCATACTACTTCCTGAACTTTTAAGTATCAAGATTTGATGCTCATACCTCATGTACCACGTTTGTACACTAAAGTGTTATTATTTGCAATTTAATACGAGATTTAGCCTTTTGGCAAAATTGTTTTTTATTTACATCCCATAACAGCTTTCACCTCACCTAATACATTTATGTGAAATCTGTCTACATAATACATTTAATTAAGTAAACGTTTCAGCCTTATCAGTGAAAGGAACATCCTCTGAAAGTTGCTCTGTTAAAGTATTTAATGAAGTAATCCTCACACAGAGGATGTTCCTGTGAGGGATTGGCTCTGTAGCTCTGGCTCACTTTGATTCACACATTGACTGTTAATCACACCATGTCATGTGTGACATTGATTGGCTGCTCGTATCGCCTCACCACAACACAGAAGAGACCATGACCCTTTTTACCAGCTACAGACAAGACCAGTAAAAACCTCAGTTATGAAGTGGTTCATAGGAATTCTGTCTTTTCGCTGAGCCAGATCATTTGGCTCAGTGATGAGAGGCAGACCGTTCTGCTCTTCACTCCCACTTCTGGCTTTTATTATTGTGCCAAATGTTTTCACCTATGGTCAATATGTGTGCGCACATGGTCCCTTTGTGTTCTGTTTTAACAGTGAAGGAACTTTTTTTATCCCCAACACGCATACGCAAATCGTTATTTTGTATTAATTACAAATGTCATATACTTCACCGTGCTGCTAGTCAATTAATTGTATTGCCTGGGCAGCCATTGCTCCAAAGAGCCACGTTTACCCAGTGACTGTGCTGGCAAATGCAAGTAAACATACATTAACATTAAATATAACTTTTTCTAACAAAGCCAAAAATCAACTAAATAACAAACTAGAACTTAGGTAAACCGTTGAGTGAATATAAAAGCGGACGTTTCCACCGTGAGGTCGTCCTTTGGTTTGTGGACTTCTGTTAAATAATTTAACAATTTGTCAGACACAGGAGGGTTAACCTGGAGCAACTCACTTTTAGTAGACCAAGATGTTACTATTATCTTTCCCTGTTAAAGATTTGAACTCGTAGGACAAAAACACAGACAATTCCAGACCGGACTGAAACGTGGTATTGACTTGTCAATCACAAAGAAGACCCGCCCTAAAGCATACCAATGCTATCATCTCTTTTACTGCAAATGGGACCATGATTTACAAAATAAACATCATGCTGTATTGAAGAAGACTTGAGATTCTTCTCATCGGCACACGGTCATTATAAAGAATGTTATTACCAGTATCATTAGGATTCTCCTTGCCCATAACATACTTGTTCATTAGCAATTACTAATGTCCAATCTCCAACTGTCACTATGGAGCGAGGTACTTGTTGAAGTATTGAGCAGCATAAACAGAAGTACTTTGTTATTAACATTGAGTGTATCCCACAGTCCTACTTTGTGTCAGACTACGACCCCACCATCGAGGACTCCTACACCAAGATCTGCACCGTTGGGGGGAAGGAGACCCGGCTGGACAGTAAGGCTTGTACTTCTTAATGTTTGTCAGAGTGTGTGTACGGCTTTGTTTAAATGCTGAGGGTATGTTGCACTGTGATATGACACAGTGTTTGCTCTCTGGAGCTTTAATTCCCTTGTTAGGACTTGTACTTGGCCAGTGTGGAGGAAGCCAGGCTAGTGTTGGCTCACACTGCTGTCTCCCTACACACACATGTGAATCATCCTGTGTACAGCTACTGTTTCCAGGACTCTGGCTGTTCTTCAGACCATTTGTTTACTGCACTGCGGATTGAACTCCACTGTGAGAACCCTCTGAATGTTCCCCCTTCCTCTTTACAAACATTACTGTCCACTCAAAGTAAAGTTAAGCTTCTCTGCTGAACTGAAGTATTATAAGCCATATTTAAAAGCACTTAGATTAGTTATCGGCTACACAATATGTCTCAGAGTGATTTGTACACAGATGTAGCAGTGTGTGCTGTGGGTGGTGTTCAGGGTGTGTACACACACACACACACACACACACACACACACACACACACACACACACACACACACACACACACACACACACACACACACACACACATGCTCTGTCAGAGAACTCAGCAGGAACATGTTAAGGTCCAGTTTCTGCCTCATCACATCAGCTGCTTTAAAGGAAAACCTCAAAGACTTTGACAATGATGGAGATTAAATTAAAACATAATACCTTCCCAAATTGTGGCTCTGTTACTTTATAAGGTATCTCAATGGCTGAGTTTGGTGCGTAAACCAACGTGATATTATCAGTATTTTTGTCTTTATGATTGAAATGAATGGAATTCATTTCCATTAGTTCTTTGTAAATGTTTCTAAGTAAACAAGTACATATGTCATTTCTAGCAACCATCTTTTAATAAGTAAATAGACTTAAAAACTGTAAACCAATTCAGTATTGGAAGAGTCTGTGAGGATTCTGGAACTATGTACGCAGTAACAGGAGCTGTTAAACTTCCAGCTGCTTTCTGACAGAGGTTTATCTGAACACATGCTCAGCTCTGTGACGTGAATCTTCTGATAGAGGAAGCTTACACTGGAACTAAAATGAAGCAGTGTGCCCCCCTGCCCCCTCCTACATGAGTCACCTCACACGTAGCACACCCTGTGATGACACTCTTCTTTGTGAATATCAAATATGGCCGACAGTCCGATATAGTATAGTATTGTCACATGCATTAAAATATTCAAAAATCACTTCATGCGTCATCCTCAAGTCCTGTTTGGATTTTTGTTGGGTTGGTATTGAATCCCAGCTTCAAACTAACACTAACCAGCTCAACACAACTACATATGCACCACAGTGACTGTTTTTACAGCTGATAGCCCATAATTACCTGTTTCTCTTGGCCCCTACTGATAAAATAAGTACAAGTGTTCTATTTTAAAAAGAAGATCATAACCTGCAGTTTATGTACACCTGACCTCTAATAATAATTTCTAGTAATTTGCCTCTTCTTCTTCTCTGTGCTTGCAGTCAAATTGTGAGAGAAGCCTTTCCTTTACCTCCGTGTAAAACTGTTACCGATGGCTGATGTTACTGATGGCTGATTTTATGTTTGATTTAATAAAGTGTTGAAAGTTCAAAACATATAAGCACTTCAACAAATGATGACATCAGTTGTAAAATGCTTAATAAGCGCCGTAACCACATGATCTGCATTTCTCGTCACCATCAGTTGTTTCCTTGAACGGCCGAATGTTGTGTCACAGTAAGGTTGCAGTCGATAAATTGGATAATCCAAAAATCAGCTCCTAACGTCTAATCCTATTCCTTGACCTCTGAGTGAAACGTCACGGGGTTAAGGGATAGTGGATAGGAGAGTTCAAAAGGACTTAGGAGAAGAGACTGTAGTACTTTAGAGAATCCGAATGCACTTTCACTATCCAACGTGTTTATGATGCGCCAGCGGACGTCATAAATGTGCATCTGCTGCTGTGGGGATACAATGGAAACTACAGTTTCCTATACAACGGACTACATGTTGTTTAATAAGAACGAGGGACTACTGTAAACTCATCTAGAGACTCTGCACCGTTCTCTGATGCTGTTGTTTTATGAGGAACATATACTCTTCATTAGGTTGGAACTGAAATAAAAAAGTAAAGTGAAACTTATTGTTATCACTCCCCCCCCTCCCCCACGTATTAATCCACATGAAATCCCAATACGATGACTATGAAAATATTTCAAAGTAAATACAAATGTATTTATCATTAACTTGTTAGGCCTTAAACCTACACTGTTATATCACCATTCAAACATGTTTCAAAGTTAAGAAAACCCCCAACATCATTAATTTGATCAGTTCATATTTCTCCTTTGATTATTATAGTGTTGAACATGAAAGACAAAGCACCTAAGCAAGTTGCTGCATACGTTCTAAAATGCTCTCTCTCTCTCTCTCTCTCTCTCTCTCTCTCTCTCAGTCCTGGATACAGCAGGTCAGGAGGAGTTTGGAGCGATGAGGGAGCAGTACATGCGCTCAGGAGAAGGCTTTCTATTGGTGTTTGCACTCAACGACCGGGGCAGGTAATGGGAGTTAAGCGGAGCTGATTGGATTGGTTCATATTGTGTCAATCTGTATGACACATTCCTTCCTGTGATCAGAATGCATATGATTGTGTGGTTCTTGACACCGTGCTGATTACTCCCGGTGTCCCCTGGCAGCTACCACGAGGTGCAGAAGTTCCACACGCAGATCCTGAGAGTGAAGGACCGGGATGACTTCCCCATGGTGCTGGTTGGAAACAAGGCGGACCTGGAGCATCAGAGAGTGGTCAGTACCTTCATGCAGCTTAATGGAGTCGCTTAGCTTTCCATTGTCCCTGCTTCCTGGAAAATACTGCAGTGCAAGTCAGGGAACCGGATCAGTTATTTCACAGGATTTGGAAGTTTCAGGGGGTTTAAAGAACATAAAAATGTAAATAGAACCCCCCCCCTAGTGTCTTCAGATGGTATTCATAGGAGGAGCCTGGGACTTCAGATGTAGCAAATGTAGCAGATGTGCAATCAGGTTCAGGTTCTTTATTTCTGTGACAATATAATCTTTGTTGAAGCCACTTTTGTATTCTCTAGGACAGGCTGTTTTTATTTTCAGATAAACTGCTCAAGTCAAAAAGTCAACTTTATTGTCAATCTTTCACTTTGTGTGTACAGACAGAGAGATCAAAATACTGTTTCCCACAATCCCGAATATAAAAGTACAAATATGTATAAAAATATGTATAAAATATGTATATCCTATATATTAGGGCTTCTCAAACTCCGGACCAAGGTCCGGATCCGGACCGAACTACAAATCAATCCGGACCGAACCCTGTGTCCCATTATTAAAAAATAAAATAAAAAAATAAAAAATTTGAAAAATAAAAAAGTTTCTGAATCTGATGAAAATTAAAGTGGACCTATCATGATATATTGGAAAAATATATTGTAGGGCCATACCTATACAAAACATGTCTGTAAAGTTTTCTGCTTAAAATACCAAACAGACCACCCATTGTAGCCATGCCTCATACTGCTCATCATACCGCTCTTTTGCAGCCCTGTTAGAGAAACGCGGATTTT